GGGGGAGTAACCGGGGGACCACGGTGAGGGAAGCGGCGGCAAGGCGGTCAGGGAGGCGGGTGGCAAGGAGGTAGAGGGTAGAGGTCATGGGAGGCTGGTGGACTCTAAGCTGTGCATCAGTGCAGGCAGCGCGCCAGGTCTCATCTATCGAGCGCAGGTGGGCAGCGAGGTCAGAGACAGTGGGGAAAGACGCAAGGTCAGGAAAGAGCAGGGGGAGGATCAGGCGACCCACTGAGGCAGCAGGAGGGGTAGAATAGCGCTTGATGACAGCATCGAGGTAGGCCTGGGCAGTAGTAATGGTTCTAAAGCGAGGGCGCTCAGGGGGGGGGAGGGCATTGCTAATGGCGAGCTGAGCAAGGGCATCGCGGGAAAGCCAGACAGAGCGGGCAAGGGCAGCGGCGGCAGTGGACTCGCGCTCAGCGGGCGTGGGATCAGCGGGCAGCATAGCAGGGGGGTCAGGGCAGGGGAGCATACCGTCTAGGTGGTCAGAAAGCGGGTGGCCGTCCTGCCGCTGACCAGTGAGGTGGCGGCGGAGGTCAGCCAACCACGCCTCGAACTCCAGAGGCTGACCCTCAGCATCAAAACGAAGCTCAGCAGCCATCAGGGGCAGTGTAGGACAGTAGAGTGCGGTGTAGTGCTGTGCAGTGCAGTGCAGTACGGTGCAGGGCGGTGCAGTGCAGTGCAGTGCGGTGCAGTGCGGTGCAGGGCGGTGCAGTGCGGTGCAGTGCGATGCAGTGCGGTGCAGTGCGGCGCAGGGCGGTGCAGTGCGGTCCAGTGCGGTGCAGTGCGGTGCAGTGCGGTCCAGTGAGGTGCAATGTGGTGCAAGGCAGGGCAGGGAAGTGCAGGAGAGTGCAAAGCGGTGCGGGGAAAGGGGGACAGTACCAGGAAGTATGTAGGGCCGGGGCAGGCTCGACGGGACGGGGCAGGCGCGACGGGGCCGGGCAGGCGCGACGGGGCCGGGCAGGCGCGACGGGGCCGGGCAGGCGCGACGCGGGGCCGGGCGGCAGCGACGAGGCCGGGCGGCAGCGACGGGGCCGGGCGGCTGCGACGGGGCCGGGCGGCAGCGACGAGGCCGGGCGGCTGCGACGGGGCCGGGCGGCAGCGACGAGGCCGGGCGGCTGCGACGGGGCCGGGCGGCTGCGACGGGGCCGGGCGGCTGCGACGGGGCCGGGCGGCAGCGACGAGGCCGGGCGGCTGCGACGGGGCCGGGCGGCAGCGACGAGGCCGGGCGGCTGCGACGGGGCCGGGCAGGACACAGCAGGGCCGGGCGAGGGCGACGAGGCCGGGCAGGCGGGACGGGGCCGGGCGGGTGCGACAGGGGCCGAGCGGCTGGGACAGGGGCCGGGCGGGCGCCACGGGGCCGAGCGGCTGCGACGGGGCCGAGCTGGGGCGACGGGGCCGAGCAGGTGTGACGGGGCCCAGGAGGGGCACTACAGGGCCCTGGAGGGGCGCGACGGGGGGCCCAGGAGGGGCGCGACGGGGCCCAGGGGCGCTACGGGGCCCAGGGAGGAGCGCGGCAGGGCCCAGGAGGGGCGCTAAGGGGCCCAGGGAGGAGCGCGGCAGGGCCCAGGAGGGGCGCTAAGGGGCCCAGGAGGGGCGCGACGGGGGCCTGGGAGGGGGGGCTACCAAGCCCAGGAGGGGCGCGACAAAGCCCAGAAGGGGCGCTACGAAGCCCTGGAAGGGGCGCGACGGGGCCTGGAGGGGCGCTACGATGCCCTGGAAGGGGCGCGACGGGGCCTGGGAGGAGCGCGACGGGGCCTGGGAGGAGCGCGACGGGGCCTGAGAGGAGCGCGACAGGGCCCAGGAGGGGCGCGAAGGGGCGCGACGGGGCCCTGGAGAGGCGCTAGGGGGCACGACGGGGCCCTGGAGGGGCGCTACGGGGCCCAGGAGGGGCGCGACGGGGCCCTGGAGGGGCGCTACAGAGCCCAGGAGGGGCGCGACGGGGGCCTGGAGGGGCGTTACGAAGCCCTGGAAGGGGGGCGCGACGGGGCCTGGAGGGGCGCTACGAGGCCCTGGAAGGGGCGCGACGGGGCTAGGGGGGGGGGGGGGGGGGGGGGGGGTCGCGCCTGGGCTCAGGAGGGGCGAGGCTAGGCTAGGAGACGCGACGGGAGGAGCGGAAGCGGTAGGTGGGGGGGGGGTCGAAACCTACGCGTGATACCATATCAAACCTAGAATTTTAATAATAATAGAGTTAGAGAGTACATGCACATATACCTAAACGTTGTACCCTCTAGGAGGTTACCCTATACAGTCTATACAAACATGATCAATAAACATGTTTGACATATGGGGGATGGGGAGATGGGGATAGGGATATGGGGGATGGGAAGGCTTGGTATAGAGATGTAGGGGAAAGGGAAACATGAGATAGGGATATTGGGGATAGGGATACATGGGATAGGGATGTGTGGGATAGGAACATGGGAGACGGGTGTTAAATTATATATTGTGTTATATTATTGGAAGGCTTGGTAGGTTCGAACTCTACAATAGAGGGGATCCTTGTATCCCACTCTCTTTCTATTCTTTCTCTTTGTTGTGATAAATTCATACTTAAGTATTTCTGTAAGTAGTTCCGATAGATATTGTCGAGTTACACTGTAGATATCATTCGTAGAATGACATCAGCAAATAGCGCTCGTCTGGATGGTTACGTCAGCATGCCGTTTTCAGTCACGCGAACAGTCGCGTTCCTTTCAGCAGCGGTTAGAGCACATAGCACATATAGCTCGAACAGGTACATCACCGAATAGGTACTTCTAGTAGATATAAAAGTAGCTTGTACAACTTCAATTGTTAATTTGTTCTTCAGTAAATTCTGGTCAACACTTTACAAGTTCTAAGACTTCCGCTGTCTTACTAGTCTACCATTTCAGCAAAGATTCTTAGATAAGTCTTTTAAGTATCGCAAGGCTATAACACTGTGTAAGGAATTTTATTCTTTACCGGGTTGTATTGCAATCGCGTACACCCGAACTCTCGGAACACTAGGCTCGGTCCGTTTCCGTCGCGACCCCGAGGCACGCCCGCGCCGCCTCCGACCCTTTCGACCGCGCTTGTACCCAACCTAGCCCTCCGGCTTCGTCGCCTAGCTAGAGCTCTCGCTATATAATGCTAGGCTAGCATTCTTGTACTCGTCATGATTATTCCGCGCACTCTCAGTTATTATTCATAACATCTGGTATCAGAGCTACTTTCCTGGTTCACCCCGCTTTCTCAGGGTAGTTTATTTCCAAGGCGTGGTTAACCCTGCGGGGCTGCAAAGCGGTTGTCCGTGAGCTAGAGTTATCAGCTCACACAACTACGATAGCGTTTGCGCCCCCTACGGTTTCTTACCACGGCCTTCCCCCTGCCCGAAAGGCGTAGCATTCGCATCATGTCCCAGGCCCAGCTAGACGAGGTCATGGCTCAGATGCAGGCAATGCAAGCCCAGATGGCGAGTTTGAACAGTGAAGTCGTGAGACTTCGGACGGAGAACACCGGGCTTCGCCAGACGCGTGGTGAAGCGCGTCAGGAGTCGCCTGGAGTCGCCGAAGACGAGGTCAAACAAGGTGCCGACGACGCAGCGAGCGAAACCGTTCTTGACGAGCTCGCACGGGAGTTGGAGCAGGACGATGTGCGCACTGTGACCGTAACGAAGATAAAACTCAAGCCAGCAACACCGCCCCCGTTCAACCCTTCGGACAAGGCGACGACGGTGCAAGGGTGGCTGTTCAGCATGGAGCTGTTCTTCACGGCGGCAAGTGTACAAACGGATAACGCGCGCATTAATTATGCCGTGTCGCTGCTTCGAGGACAGACGTTGGATTGGTGGCGCCGACAGTTGGCGATTGGGACTCCGGCAGGAGTGAAGCAGGCGAAGGACGGGACTTCGGACTCTTCAAACCAACAGGCAGAAGCAATATTCGGTACGACCACGATTCGCACGTGGAAACAGTGGGGCACAGCTCTGCGAGCTCGTTTTGAGCACTCATCCGCCTCAGACGACGCTCGCATGAAGCTGCGCAACTGGCGGCAGGTGACTACTGTTCAATATTACACTGCGTCGTTCTCGGCACTTGCAGACCAAGTCGACGACCTCAGCGAAGCGGAAAGGCGGGACAAATACGTTAGCGGGCTGCATTTCGATATTCAATACGAGTTGCAGCAGTCCCGTCCCAAGACGTTCGATGAAGCTGTCCAGCTGGCGTCAGCAGCCGATGCACTGCAGCAGTGGGCGAGAAAGAACAGGGATGTTGGTCGTTTTCGTGGACAGTCTCCCCGCCCCACGGTCAATGGCGTGTCAGCGCCCGATGAAATATTTCACGGGCTATGCTTTCGATGTGACAAGCCAGGTCACCGAGCTAAATACTGCCCGGCGGCGCCCAAGAAGACGAAGAACGACAAGGAGAAGCCGGGAAATGGGAAAAGTCAGTAGCAGACGGGCCCCCTACTGACGAGGCTTTGTCGCCCGAACTTCAGCGTTCCCACCAAGTTGTGGTACCGATACACGCTATCGACCGCACTCGGACGAATAACGGGAGCGAACCTGAAGATCACCCTGTGCTGGTCGAAGGCAAGGTTAACGGCAAAAAAATAAAATTATTTGTGGATGGCGGAGCTAGTCACAGTCTCATACACGTAACAACGGCGAAGCAGTTGAAGCTAACGTTGGAAAAATGTCTTCCCGAAATCGACGCGCGCCTGGTGGACGGAACTCCAAAGCAATTCGAGAACGAGCGCGCATGGTGCGGATGAAGTGTGGCGACGACTTCGGATTCAGCATGCCCATGCTGGCCACGACGCTGGACGGCTGCGACATTCTGCTTGGGCGTGATTGGCTGCGAAAATACAACCCGAGGATTGACTGGACAATTGGCGAATGCAGCGTGCACTGTGCAAACGGGTGGCGCGTACTTCCGAGCTGGCGCGGGAGGGATCCGGTGTCGACACGCGTCAACGCCATCACCCTCCAGCGAGCAGTTAAAAAAGGAGCCGATCTGTACGCCGTCCACCTGGCTGAAGCAACGGTCGATGACACGCCAAAGGACATCGACACACTTTGTGCCGCGTGTCAAAATTGACCTGGAACCCGGCGCGCAGCCTACAGTCAGGACCCAGTGGCGGCTGACTCAGCCCGAACTCACGGAGTTGCGGAGCCAGCTGGACTACCTCTTGGAGAAGGGGTTCATTAGGCCCAGCACGTCCCCGTTCGCGGCACCAATCCTGTTCACGCCAAAGAAAGACGGCGGGCTGCGAATGTGCATCGACTACCGGGCGCTGAATCGGCGAACCATTAAGTCTCGCTACCCAATCCCACTCGTGGACGATCTTCTCGATCAACTTCGCGGAGCTCGCTTTTTCTCGAAAATCGACTTACGCGGCGGTTACCATCAGATCCGAGTCTTCGCTGACGACTGCCACAAGACGGCGTTCCGAACCCGATATGGCAGTTACGAGTGCACCGTGATGCCCTTTGGCCTCACGAACGCGCCCTCCACATTCCAACTCACCATGAATGGCGTCTTCCGAGATCTACTCGACAAGTGTGTCATCGTCTACCTTGATGACATTCTGATATACAGCACAACACAGGAACAGCACCTCAAGGACCTCGAGCAAGTTTTCCAGCGGCTGCAAGAACACCGCCTCATTACGAAGGGCTCTAAGTGCGAGTTTCTAAAACCCGAACTGGAATTTTTGGGACATGTGGTGGGAGCGGACGGCATCAAAATCGACCCGAAGAAAATCACCACGATTCGCGACTGGAAGCCGCCGACGAATTTACAGGAGCTGCAGAGTTTTCTCGGGTTCGTTAATTACGTCCGGAGGTTTATCCCCAATATGGCAGGGATAACCAGACCGTTAACTGACCCATTGCGGAAGGGCACTTTGTTTGAGTGGCGGGAGAGACAGCAGACTGCTTTCGATGAACTGCGAAATTTTCTGACATCGCCCCCGGTCCTCCGAATCGCCGACCCATCTTGACCGTTCGAAGTCTTGACGGACGCTAGCGATTTCGCCATCGGTGCGATACTGTTACAAGATTTCGGCGACGGACTCCAACCCATCGCGTATGAGTCTAGGAAGTTGCAGGCAGCCGAACGCAACTACCCCGTCCACGACAAAGAAATGCTCGCCATCGTGCACGCATTCAAGGTGTGGCGATGCTACTTGACGGGAGCCGACGTGACAGTACGGACAGACCATAAATCCCTACAGTACCTCCGCGCGCAGCCGAACCTCAATCCACGGCAGATTCGCTGGCTGGACTTCCTCGAATGTAATTTCCATTACACCATCACGTACAAACGTGGGGCGAATAACATCGCCGACGCACTGACAAGACCATCCGCCCACCTCGCCTCCATCATCATCGCAAAATCCAACCTGCTGCTCACGGGCCTATTTACCCACGGATATACCACAGACCCCTTTTTCACCCGCAACCTCCACCAGCAAGCCAACACAGCCAAAGGACCCTACTTCCTAAAAGTTGGGTTCCCGCCTACAGACTCCTCCGCGAATTACTGATTCAAGAAGTCCACGATTCTAACCTCTCCGGTCATTTCGGGGTTGACAAAACCCAGAAATTACTTCACCGTTTTTATTATTGGCCTGACTCGACGTCTGATGTGCAGAGATACGTATCTGCGTGCCCGATCTGCCAACACATGAAGTCCTCTCGACAGCGGCCAGCTGGACTGCTGCAACCGCTCGAGCCACCCCAGCGACCGTGGCAACACGTGACGATGGACTTCGTCACGAGACTTCCGACAACCGCAACGGGCAACGACGCCATCCTCGTCGTCGTCGATCGACTGACGAAGATGGCGCATTTTGCACCCTGTCGCACAACAATCACAGCCGAGGATACAGCAAAACTATTAATCTCCACCATTGTTCGTTTACACGGCGTCCCATTAGCGATCATCAGCGACCGCGACCCAAAATTCACGTCCAAGTTCTGGCAAGAGACATGGGCCCAGTACGGCACACGCCTCCAATTTTCCTCCGCCTATCATCCTCAAAACGACGGCGAGACTGAACGAACCAATAAGACCATGGAGCAGCTAATACGCACCAACTGCCCCGATCCTGCCCGGTGGGAAGAATTTCTGCCCATGCTGGAATTTTCCTACAACAAGGCCCCATCTGCTACGACTACTCACTCGCCGTTTTTCCTAAACTACGGGATGGATCCGACCGTCCCAACGACTACCAACATCGACAACTTAGTGCCACGTTCCCAGCAGTCCGTGACCAGCTTGCAAGCTGCCCGGGATAAAGCGATCGAATTCATTCGCAAGTCCAACACAACTGCTCGACGCTATACAGACCTTCATCGCCACGATATTACGATGACCGCTGGGCAACTAGTCCTCCTCGACACGAAGAACCTTCGATTGCCCCTGCCGTCAAAACTCCGCCCGCGATTCTGTGGCCCTTTTTGTATTGTCAATATGGTGACACCTGTCACAGCGAAATTATTACTCCCGGACGAGTGGCGCATTCACGACGCCTTCCACGTCAGCCTGCTTCATCCCTTCGTCGCCAGCACGTCTGCAGTCGCACGACCAGCGGCCATCCCAAGTGTCCGCCCACTGGCTGAACCAACGCTTGAGCCTTTCCGGCTTTTGAGCCATCGCGTTCGCCTCGACTCGACAGGACGACACGTGGATTTTCTTGTCCGCTGGGTCGACCGTACAAGCGAAGACGACACCTGGGTCACTTCCGACTCGATTAAGGAACACTCGGTGCTCAAATCTTATTTCACCCGAAAAAGCGTTCAGGGTTTTGATCACCTTCCTTAAGAGGGGGGGTAGTGTAAGGAATTTTATTCCTTACCGGGTTGTACTGCAATCGCGTACACCCGAACTCTCGGAACACCAGGCTCGGTCCGTTTCCGTCGCGACCCCGGGGCACGCCCACGCCGCCTCCGATCCTTTCGACCGCGCCTGTACCCAACCTAGCCCTCCGGCTTCGTCGCCTAGCTAGAGCTCTCGCTATATAATGCTAGGCTAGCATTCTTGTACTCGTCATTATTATTCAGTGCACTCTCAGTTATTATTCATAACACACTGACTCTGGTGTTACAACTTGTTAATACTGGCTGTTACTGGAGGTACTTCTAGAATTACTTTCTACTTCAAGTACTTGTGTCTGCAAATTCTATACCTCGTCTCCTGCACCACCTTTTCTATTCTTTCATTTTTTCTCTCGTCAACTCTCTCTCCTAGTTCCTAGCTTCTAAAACCTCACGCCATTCCATGGCTTCCTTCCGTTCCTTCTAGCCTAGTCTACTAACATGGTATCAGAGCGGGTTCCCCTTCCCGGGCCTGCTCCCCACGCTTCCGCCGCGTACTCCTTCTCTCCCTCGCGCGCTGCCATGGCGGTCGCGTCGTGCTGCTGTGGCGGCGTCGTCGTGTCGCTGGCCGCGTCGTGCCACGGCCGTCTCGACGCGCTGCCGTGACGCCGCACCGTCGTGGCGTCGACGTCCAGACGTGACGGCGCCGCCGTCGTCGTTCCGCTGGCCGTGTCGTGCCGCGGTCGTCTCGACGTGCTGCCGTGGCGTCGCGCCGTGGTGGCGTCGACGTCCAGGCGTGGCGGCATAACGGCGCCGTCGTGCTGCCATCGCAACGTCGACGTCCCGCCGCGGCATCGACGCCGCTCCGTGACGGCGCCGTCGGGCTGCAGCCGGCCGCGCGACACCTGTGGCGCCGCTAGACCTGTCGCCCGCACGCTAGCCGTTCCCCCCCCCCTCCCCCCCCCCCCCCCCCCTTCCTTCCCCTGCGCCCCCTCCTCCTCGCCAGTAAGCGCCGCGCCATCCATGGCGCGTCGCTGAAGACTCGTCGCCGCCACGTCAGTGCGGCCGTTCCGCCGTCTCGCCAGTAAGCGCCGCGCCATACATGGCGCGTCGCTGAAGACCCACGCCAGTGCGGCCGTTCCGCCGTCCCGCCAGTAAGCGCCGCGCCATCCATGGCGCGTCGTTGAAGACTCGCTCCCTCCCCCCCCCCCCCCCCCCCCTCCCATTTTCCCCTCCTCTAGCTTGCCATCTTCTTTACCACAGCTGACGCCTGCCTCGTGAGGGCCTTCCCCATCGCCGAGGAGATTGGCCATGCCGCCGAGAGGGCGGGGGCCGCTGTAGTCGCCTCTGATATTGAAGCCGCCGCCACCGCCGCTGTTGCCGTTGGCCTGTTGCCGCTGGCCTGTTGCCGCCGCACGCCACCGCCGCCGCCGCTCTCGTCACTTCCGCTGCTGCCGCCATTGCCATCTCACGGGCCGTGGGAGTTGACCTATTTCGGAGTAGTCGTTGCTGCTACTGGGAATGGGGGTGCTAGGTTAGGGGGTGTGGGGTTGTATGGGCTTGCGACTACCAAGCATAGGGGGTGTGTTAAATTATATATTGTGTTATATAATTGGTAGGCTTGGTAAGTTATCGAACTCTACTGTAGATGGTACAATCCCCTCCTTGTATCCCTCTCTCTTTCTAGTCTTTCTATTTTCTCTCGTCAACTCTCTCTCCTAGTTCCTAGCTTCTAAACCCTCACGCCATTCCATGGCTTCCTTCCGTTCCTCCTAGCCTAGTCTTCTAGCAACGGGGTATGGATAAAAGGGATATGTGGAATACATTTTTCTTGCAAAAACAAGGGGTTGGGAGCACTATTCACGTTCTATAGCACCCTAGTGATATTTTTTAGGAAAATTGGGGAGACTAAGCTGTCAACTTATATGTATTATTTATATATAGTTGTGTAGGCTTGGTAGGTTAGGTGTGCTACAATACTGGATCATATTGCAGAGGGTACAATATATCAACATATATATTTTATACATATATATGTGTGTATAGGCTAGGTAGGTGTACTGCATATCGTGGATCCTATTGTAGAGGGTACAGACCCTTTCTTGTATTCCTCACTTCTAGTCCAACACTCTTCTCTCTCGACATTTTCTCCTAGCACCTACAACCTCAAGCCATTTCCATGGCTTCTATCCTATCCTAGCTTGTTCAACATGGTATCAAAGCAGGTCCTTCTTCTCGGGCCTGCTGGTCACGCTTTCGCAACGTTCGCTCCTCCCTCTTGTCCTTTCCGCGCCACCGCCACGGCCATGTCATGCTGCAGTGACGGCGACGTCGTGCTGCAGTGGCGGCGTCGACCCGCCAGCGCACGGACGGCACGGATGGCAGCAGCCAGCACCTGGTCTTAGCACTGGCCAGCACGCCCGCATGCAGCCAGCGCGCCACACGGGGCAGCACACTCCCTGGCTCCGCTGCTGAAGCCCCACCCCCTTCCCCTGCGTCCCCTCTTCCTCGCCGCAGCTGATGGCTGACTCGCACGGGCCTTCCCTCCGTTGCGAAGTCAGGCCACGCCGCTGAGTGCTGCGAGCTCCGCCGCTGCCGCCGCTGTCGTCCAAGCCACCGCCGCCGCAGCTGGTGCTGTTGGCCTCGCCGCCGCACGCCGCCGCCGCTGCCGTTGTCGTCGCTGCCGCCGTCGTCGCCATTGCAGCCGCTGCCCTCGCTGCCGGCATCGTCGCCTCGCACGCCGAGGGCTTGACCATGCTGGAGAAGCCGTCGCTGCTGCTGAGTATGGGGTTGCTAGGCTTAGGGGATGTGTGGCTTAGTGTACTGTGTGCGTGGTGTGTTTTCTTTTGACCTCCATTACTACTAAATCCAATGGACAGGCTAGTAGTACTACCCTGGTCTATTCTCTGCGTATCGCCTACCAAGCCTAGGGGGTGTGTCAACATATATATTTTATATATCTATGAGTATAGGCTAGGTAGGTGTACTGCATATCGTGGATCCTACTGTAGAGGGTACAACCCCCTTCTTGTATCCCTCTCTCTTCTAGTCCAACACTCTTCTCTCTCAACATTTTCTCGTAGCACCTACAACCTTACGCCATTTCCATGGCTTCTATCCTATCCTAGCTTGTTCAACACAACACCCTTCTTGTACCCCTCTCTCTTCTTGTCCAAACTCTCTTTTCTCTCATAACTTTTCTCCCTAGCTAAAACCTCTCGACATTTCTCATGCCTACCTAGCTTCTAGGCTAAAGCTAATTTCAACATGGTTTCAGAGCAGGCCGATCCTGCTAAGCCTTATCGCTACGCTTCCGCAGCATCCTCTCGCCCCTCCCGTCACTTACGCGCCGCTGTGGTGGCCACATCGTGCTGCCACGGCGGCCTTTATGCGCTGCCGTGGCATCGACGCCATGTCGTGGTGGCGTCGTCGTGCTGCCGTGGCGGCGTCGACGCGCCAGCGCACGGACGGCAGCAGCCAGCGCACGCTTTTAGCACCGGCCAGCTCGCCGGCCAGCCAGCACCGCGCCAGCCATGGCGCCTCGCTGAAGATTTGCCCCCCCTCCTCTGCATTTCCCCTCCTCGCCGCCTCAACTGCTGGTGGTCTCGTGTCGGCGTCCCCCCCGTCGTCACAGTGTGAGCCATGCCGCCGGGTGCCTCGGGCGCCGCCGCCGCCGCCGGGTGCCTCGACGCCGCCGCCGCCACCGCCGCAGGTGCTGCGGGCCCTGCCGGCGCCGCTGCCGCAGTCGCTGACGACGCCGCCGCCGCTGCGACCCCCCGCTGACGTCGCCGCCTCGATTGCCGAGGGGTCGACCCGCTGGTAGACGCCACAGCTGATGCAGGGCATGGGGGTGCAAGGGTTTGGGGGTGCTGCGTGTGTGGTGTGCTAGTGCCTACCAAGCCTACGGGGTGTGTCAACATATATATATTATTTATATATAGTTGTGTAGGCTTTATAGGTTAGGTGAGCTACAATACTGGATCCTACTGCAGAGGGTACAACACCCTTCTTGTACCCCTCTCTCTTCTAGTCCAAACTCTCTTTTCTCTCGTAACTTTTCTCCCTAGCTAAAACCTATCGACATTTCTCATGCCTAGCTAGCTTCTAGGCTTAAGCTTCTGTCAACATAAGCACCCCAAATCACATGGTTAGAGGGCTCTTTCTATAGCACTTTCCATAAACCCTGCATTGTGATGTCGAGAGACCCGCTGGGGTTGCCCTTGAGGTCCTCGGGGAAGGGCCGCAGGCCTCTATGCCTGGGGGGTTATGGGCGCACTCACCCACTACTTAATAAACCCTTTTAACTCAATGGTTAGTGACTGACTTCTCACATGGTATTGAGCTAGGTTAGATTTTGTTTTTTCCATCGTTACTCACGCTTCCGCCCATGCCCCTAGATATCAACCTTTTTACGCAGATTCGGCCTTTCTT